TTTTAGTTCTAGCTATGATGATGAGGAAGTTCATTTATTCAAGGTGATTGCTCCGTTTTAGGAGCTTGTTTATTCGTTCGTCTTTGCTGTATTAAGTATTGTATGTGTATGGCTTTCGTTTGGATATGCGAATCGACATCTTGGCGGCACATCAGCTGGATATGTAGCTGCAGGGGTAAGTTCTAATATTACGTTATTTGAAAAGTCGTTAATAGGTTTAATATTTTGAGATTCATGGGTCTAGCAGTAGAGGAATACTCTGTAGTACATAATGCAATTGGCGCATTTAAAATTAAGACAATACCGCACGGAAACTACAATCAAAAAAGATACATCATGTCTAGTTGCACACAGGATATAACTCCATTCGATATAATCTAGTTGTTACGGGGTCATTGAGTCTTCCAGTTTAATCAATTAGACTTCCTATTTACGTATTTGCTGTGTAATCTGCAAGTGCACCGTATATTTCTTTTGCACGGCAAGAGCGCCGTGTTTAGCGTAAAATAGGAAAAAGGGAGTTGCTTGCTCAAATAATTTATTTCCCTGTACGCGTAATTTAGTCTTTTCCAAAGAAAACCAGTGGAAAATCTTCTCAAACAATTTTCTCGGAGAAGAATTGTTTGCAAAAAAATATACACAGATCTCAGTTGTTGACAATTTTATAAATAATTCTATTGTCATTGGAACTATAGAGCTATTTTCTTACTTCCATCAAATATGTACTCTGCGTTCCAAGATTTCATGAATCTGAATACCTCTCTCATCAATTTCATCAGAAAAAGGATCAAGGGATAAATATTATCTAAAATTGAGATGATTATAAAGGAAAAGGACTAATTTGGAAGTTTGCAAATATCACGCAATTCACGAGAGAAGGATACTCAGTCGATCTGGCTATTGAACAAGAGATACGTACTGATAGATGCAGTTTCAAATGCTGAATTCCAAATCTGCTTTTCATTGTCTGCGAACCGTTTTTCTAAAAGGCGTCATAAACGTCGTTGCTCCAAAAACCCTGTTAATAGTTGACCTAAAATACAATTCGACCTTAAGCAGCGACGCAAGGAGTTATCATTTGATAAGAATGTTTAGCGATAACAGTTTTTGCGCTGCTATATTGGGTTAGAGAAGGGCATATTCGATAAATTTTGTTCGGAAGTGAAAAGACGTTTGGAACTCCTTCCAGAAGGCAGAAGGGAATGATTTGGAATCAGCGTTTGTGCATCTATCAGTACATATCATTTTTCAA